GCCAGATTCGTCTTCACATTGTGTTGCTTCAGGCCGTTCAATGTAGGCCAGTCGATCTCTGAACGGTTTTGCAAGAGACAGTCAAAGTGTTTTCGCCAGATCTGCATCATGTCTGCAGTCTGTGTGCAGGTAGCGCCTGAACTACCATCGATCAGTGTCCTCAGCGGCTCCAATCTCGTTCCATACACCGCCTTCAAGGAGTCCAAGAATTCATTGTGTTGGCGGCGTTCGGCGTAGCATTCCATCTGCTTCACATTCCCCGTCAACCATACAATTTTAATGCGACGGAGCTCTCGCGTCAGTCGCCGTCGAAGTTTGTGAAACTGACGCTTCTTGCCCAAGTCACTGCGGTCTGCCAATGTACAGCAAATGTTGCGTCCTTCGCCGATACCAATGCGTCAATAGTCACATTGTTTTCATCAAAGCAATCAGGCCGCTTACAGTTTGCACGCCCGATGGTCTCCTCGGCAGCAGCTATCACGTGGTCGCGAATGTGGTGCCACAGGTCGCCCAGTGTGGCTATGCATTCCACATCACACAGGCGTGCAGCCATCGCCTACTCCAACTCAGTAGGTTTCGCTCCAGTGCCGAGGGAGATAAGGTTAAATTTGCGCCGATTCACGGCGGCAGTGCAATAAATAGATTTAAGAAAACATATGTACAGTTTGGTCCGCACCAATTTGTGATCAGTGCCACACTCAGCTCCACGCAGTACACGTGTCATGCCCACTTCACGCATGTCACGCTGACGTACGATGACGTAGTCCAACAGGTGAGCGTGACAACTCTGTGGGTGCGTCCAAGTTGCTGTATCACTCACACAGTGCAAACCGAGTGTTCGTGATCGTCAGGCCGTGAGTGGCACACAGTGAGAGCAGCCTGTCACCGTTCGCATTCGCTGAAGCAATGTCACGCGGACCGATGCGACCTGTCCACACCGATGCATCACGCCCAACGCGCGCGTTGAAATCACCCAGCAGAACTAGTCGGTCGCTCATCGGCACAGATGGTATCACGGAAGATAGCTGAGTGTAGAATTGATCAAGCATGTCATCAGAATAACACATGGTCGGACCGTACGTGCTTATAAAAGTGGCAAACTTACCTCTTCCGAGTCATAATCGAACAGTCCTCAGTCGCGCGCTGATACCCGTTGGTTTACCCAAGAGCTGGCCATTCAGGCGATCGGATATTACAAATCCGACCCCAGGATCGCGTGGTGCTGAGGCGGCGTTGCCCACCCAGCAGAAGGTGTAACCAGCACCTGCTTCACGCAACTTACCTTGCTCAGCGAGCAGGGTTTCATTGAGCGCCGCAATACCCATGTGATAACGCGCCAGCTCCATCGCGACGAGTGCAGTGCGTCGCTCGGGGCGCTCACTGGAATTCCGGTCCAGTAGTGTGCGCACGTTACAGCACCCGATGTTGAGTGCTTTGCGCGCAGGCATACGATTGCATCTGTGGGCAATCGCACGTGAGATGGTCGTTGTGCTTCGGAGATTTGCTTGAAAGCACTCCGCTCGGAGCCTTTAGCTCAATAGCCTGACCCGCAAGTCAGTGGGTGGTTTGGAGGTTTGCTTGAGGGACTCGGCCCGGAACCTTTGGCTCAATAGCCTTACCCACAAGGCAGTGGGGAGCAGATCCAGCTAATGAATGTGATTGCAGAGACAGATTTGGATCTGTTTGAGGGCCGTCACAAGCAGCCTTTGAGGTACTGGAACGATTTATATATGCTTTGCGACCGTAGTAGGATACGCACCTGCGACCACGGTCAGACGCAGGTGGGTTTTGGCGGGTTACACCAATTTGATAAGGGACCGCTTGACTTGAGGCGGGCAGTAGGAAACCATTGAACACCTAGAGGTGCCCTCCCGCCTTCCGGGAAAATGCGCGGCGCTCCTGCTCTACGTCAATCGAGCTGTGAGCTTATAACCCTCAGATCTGTTATCTCCCATGACTAGGTTTTACGGGAGGAGTGCCATTGACCACTTCCTAACCTCCGAAGAAGATGGACTAGGATACTGGCAGTGCGCTCACACCTGACAGGAGAACGACTCGGGACTTCAGCCAAAGCTTTGGATTAAACGTACCCCCGAAAGGCAGCGGGTCTAGCATATGGTCAGTTCACTGACTCATGCGGATCTTAGCAGGGAGAAGGGCGAAACCCAACTCCCACCCAGCGGTCGCCACGAGGCGCCCAGGACATGAGCAAATGGCACGACAGTAACAGCAGTGGGTAGATCACCTGTCAGGATATAGCCACCACCTGCCTCAGCGCACCATAGTTTTTCTTTCCGATATATATATATATATATATATGTATATAATCAAAGCAACAAACCACTTGGGTGGCTGAAACAAAACCTTTCCACCTGCATCAAATTAATAACCATAGTTAAAATTTTCCGTGTACACTCTTTTCCGTGTACGCGTTTTTCCGTGTATGCATTCTTCGTATACGCTTTTTACTGTACGCAATTTTTCGTGTACGTTTTTTGGTGTACCCTTTTTCCGGTCACCATATTTTACAACCATGTGCTGGCTGATAGTCTTGTTCAGATCACCTAAGGTCAACAACAATAAAACGTGCAATGTTAAAGGTAACATATCTCACAACGTCTCGTATTCCATACGCTTTAACAAGCAAATTCGGGTACGGTCGTCGTGGCAGATCCGGTCCGCGGACCGTAGTTTTCTGACTTGGCTGAAGGAATTCTGAACTTCTCGTCGTGCCTAAATAAGCTAGTTAATCGGCAGAATAGTGTGTGACATTTTACCAGTCTCCCATCCACATGTTCCGCGGTTGTTTCACTCTGCTGCTCAATGCACCGCTAGTTCAATAAAAGTGTATTAGCGGTGGATCTTTCGTTACTGTCCATTAGAATCATACGGTGCTAAACAGTACTCATGCAAACTGTCCTCAACATGGTAACTCGCTGCAAAGAAAACACTTAGCAAGCTGCAAGTAAGGTAGTCGTCTTCAGTGCATTGCAGTGTTCGGAGATTGTTAGGAAAATAGCTATTTGACATCACTTTTTGCGAAGGATCTTAATATCCATTCTTTATTCTTCCTATTTTCTACTTCACGACTGTTTTTTAAAAGCTCCAGTGTGTTGTTAATGGAAGCTCATCTCTATGTCATGTTCAGCAGTGACAGTTGCAAGAACACATTCCATTGGTTTGTCTCCGCATCACTTTTCCACTTGGTTATGTCAAAGGAATATTTAGTTGTCACACAATTATTGCACTAGATTTTAATTTTTAGATCTGCACTTCTTATTCTCGTTTGTTTCGTGACATTTGTTTAAACTCTACTTTGTGTTATTCTGTTTGGCCAGTTCCAGTCACTGTAACTGGATGTTCGCTTTACGCTTGAGGTCCACTGAAGCTATTTGTAAGGACATATACGATTCACTCTTGATTACACAGGTACTTAGTCGCCCGTTGCATTTGATGTTTTTCTTCTGTTGGTTGGCTCAAGTGTAAGTTAGTAGCTTCGCTTCATTTTGCCTTTAAAACTACATAAGCAAATGTGATTTCGTGTATACTACTCTCTTTCCGGCTCGTCTTTGGACTTCTTCTGGCGATCGTGGGGTGTGAACAGTCGGCTGGCGACACAACAGAGATAAAACACTCCTAAATACAAGAACGAAGACGTATGGGGCCCCGTTCCCTTAAGGATAGAGGGCTAAAGGGTAATCATCTGTTGTGTCGGGCCCTGTGACTGCCTCCATCAACTAACGGTGGTGAGAACATAAACAAACAGGAACAGAGCACAGCGTTTTTTTCAGTGAGGCGATACTGTTATATAGCATGGTAAGTGAAATGTAAAAGCCAATCAGAGCGCGAAAAGCTTCGGAACTCTCAAAGCTACCAAGAACCGAACAAATAAGGTGCCAATCAGATGCACATAAAGAAAGGAAAGTAGCATTGTCGAAATCGGGGTGCAACTGTGATCCGTACCCAAAAACAACAACCCTAAACAGCCAATAGGTCTGACGACATGATAGTTAAGACAAACGTCAGGGACTTGGCGCAAGAAAACGAGTCGCAGTTGAGGACGCTTATACATGTGTACACGCATTTTTATCGATTCTCTGACATCATCTATCCTCTTTGAATGTAGCGGGTGATTAGGTATTTTTGCTGAAGGTTCGTCACATTAAGACAGCCAACACACATCCAGCAGAGCAATGAGCAGTCATTGCATCCTTTCGAGAAGCGTCGGCAGTGGGCAATCCGTCTGTCCTCTTTGCTGAGCTGCCATTGTCAATAACATTACGAGATAGCTTGGGTGACTCCGTGGGCCAGCCCTGTCCTCCGCAATATGGAAACGCGCCTGTCAGTGTCCGATGGGAATACGCGTTACACCGGTCTGTTACATCGGGTAACTCCCCCTTCTCTCCCTCTTCTTATTCTTTATTTCATATGTCCACATGGTTGTATGGCAGAAAAGCATCAGTCCAAATGGTTGATGTATTGCTGTTGTTGTTGTTGATGATGATGATGATGGTGATGAGGATGATGATGCTTGATGATGATCTTGATGATGATGTTGAGGATGATGAGGATGATGATGATGATGATGATGATGATGATGGTCTATTACATAGTCATAGCGGTCACCGCTTTTCAATCCTTGGCCCAGTTGTCTCAACCACCTACGCGTACTCGTCGGGTCGCATGCCCATGTGGAACAGATAAAACACACACTGATGACGATTCCCAAAAGGATAAAGCGGCCATCTGACGCCTTTCTGGATGCCATTGGCTTCCTGAATGTAGGTGACTGTGACGAATCTCCAGCAAAATTCAAATCAAATAACACCTTTTAATAATCTCCATGACTAGGAATTTGCCTGCTTTTTACCAGTGTTCAATGTGGGTGTGCATCACAGGTCTTTTGCTATTCTATAACTGTACGCCCAACCACGCATGTGGTGTGCGAAGTAAGGAAACACTTCTCTAAAAAAAGCCTAAAATTTCTTTTACAGACTTACCCAACTATTCCAGTAAGGTAAATATCCCAGGTTTGCCGGGTCCACGTATACCATGCCACAACGCGACACCGTAGCCGGTGATGCATATTGCAAATGGGACACTTCGACCAGCAGAGAACAACTGGGCTGCAGCCGAATGCGTTCACCATTGACAAGAGTGAGCACTTTGTTGTCATCCATGACAGAGTTCATGTTTTCGATCCACATAGCATCCACATCACCGTCGAACACGAGGAAACGTCGCTCGTTGGCCTCACTCACTTGATTCATCAACCGGAACAGATACGATAGCAACCCATCAATCCACTCGCGGCTGGATGGTTCCAGGAAACCATAAAGTTCGCTCACACTCCTGTCTTTTGGGTTAATGGTGTACGTTTTGGTGTTTATTCCCATGCTGAATGAAAAGGTGTGTAAAGGGTCTATCCATGAGCTCAATTGACAACCAGCATGAAGGTCCAAGAAACAAGGATTAAGATAAACAGTACTCAGCTGTAATCTCCTTCGATACGGATCGCAAACGAAGCCTTACTGGTGTTGATTTGCAAGCTGAAATATTGGATACTCGTAATTGAGTATGGCGGGAGTGCGAAAGCCACCCCGGTCGCACTCATCTGAGAATATAACCAATGATTTAATTGCCTTCTAATTGCCTACATGTGCAAGGTTTGTCTTAATGGAAGATCACACTAGTTTGGTCTGTGTAGGTTTACTTTCCGCCATGGTTCATGACTTAACAATTTTGACAACTGAAACGTAGCATGTGTCTGTTAGATCATATGTCACCATATGCCTACCTCTATGTTCACAGCCGTTCGCATACCATTAACTCTAGCTTTAGTCATTCCTATTTAATGCAAAGGTGTCCTGTGTTGCGTCAAAACAACAACTCCTGCTGTCTCAGTTATAAGCTTACTGAACTACACAGTGGATAACACTATCAATAAAACGCAATATTTTTAAATATGTACGAAACATTATACTCTTGTATTTAGAACTCTAATGCATGCATATCCGATGTTTTTCTATGAATGTTCGCGCAGCGCACCTCCTCCCCGCGACTCTCCACCGCAGAGAGTGTGTGGAAAGAACGCCAGCTTAGCGCATCCTAGGTTACAGTGTGAGTCAACCGTGATTCGCAAGGTAGGAAACAGAGACCGTCTCTTGCGGGGCAACAGGTGCAAATCATAAGGACTAGCGGTAACCGAATATAAAATAATTTGTGGACAATTTTCCATTATACGCAATTTCAATAAAGGTCACATGAAAGATTCACCCAGGAAATTCACTGCACATTTCTGCCCCTATCTCACTTTAGCGCCACGCGCTAATGACGGACGGTATCATGTGGATCACATGACATCGCGTTAGCGCTATCTTGAGTAGCGACTCAAAAGCGCTTATAAATTACAGCCACTCAGAGGCGTAGCATAGGGGGGGGGGTGCGCGCCGGACGGCATGTGACCATGGACAGCATTTTTAGAACGGATGATTGGACAACACCAGAAGTAAATTCATCAAAATCACCTCCATGACTGAAGTGGCACAAGGGTGATAAGCATGCTGAGACTGAAGATGAAATTGGTACTGCAAACGTTGATATCCAAGCCACAACAAGCCACATCGACAGTGTGGATGCAGCAGGAAATGTTTGTAATGCGGCTACAGAAGATGCGCGCCAATTTAACGAATTGGAAATGCAGCCACAATTTGGTACCATAAAAACACACATCAACCGATTGTATGGATGTCTGTCAGTTGCCTGTTAAGAATGGCCATGAAAATCTCGTTATGGTGCTCCGCCTCGGATCTATCGTTGGGAAGCACGTCGATCAATAAGTGTTTCTACTTGGAACGAATAGAAAAGCTGGGGCTGAGGCTAAAATTGAGTTGTTTTTCCTCAAGATTTTCGATACGATGAGTAAAGATTGCGAACACGGATAGTGTATTCTCCTTCAAAAAGGACCATGTTGTGTTTCAGCTGCAAGGATGTTGTCAAAAAGATAGTCCAACTTTTTGTCTGATGAGGGTTTCAGAAACTAGTGTAAGCTAAATCCAAAAACTTGCTCAGCCACTCCTCAACCTCAACTAACTAACGATCCGGAGATTAGAAGGAAAGGCAATTGATAAAAAACGCAATGAACACTTGTAGAAAAGAGGTGGCGGGAAATTCAAGCTATGCAATTCCTCGACTGATTTCAGCCTTAAAGCAATCTGTTTAATCTTTTACTCATCAGCTTTCGTCGGTAGTGCAGAAAAGTTAATCAAATACCCATCTAAATATAATCCAGATCGCACTTGAGGGATCAGCCGTGGACCTCGCATGAGAGACCTTACCTACGTGTGCGTACGTGTGGAATGTGTGAGCGGAGCGAAAATTTCGGGGTCATTACACCCAGTGGCCTGAGCAGGACAATGTGATAGCCAAACGGCGGACATCACACACGCTTGGCTTACAATTAGTTCCGAAACGTCAAGGTGATTTCAGGCGTCCGACATATAAATGGAAACGTTCATACGGTTCGCATAGTCCGTCTCTGGTCAGTGGAGTTGTCACTTCTGCTTTCCCCCAGTTGGGTTGCACGGGAACCGCACGCCGCGGGCAACGCAAAGAAAATTATCCTCAAGGCTCACCTACCAAGTTTGTTTTTACTTTGCTTTATATGCTTTTTTAACCCTTAGATCACATTACGCGCTATGGGAAGAAGAGGAAGGTAGTCCCGTCATCCGTCCCATGTTAAAAGGCTCTTATCCTTAAGACATATGAAGAGGGAAACGACTGCAAGGGCATTGCATCTCTGTTACAGGTAAATGTGAAGACATGTAAAAGATGGATTAGCATATTAGAATTGAATAAGTCGGCAAGAGATCGTAGCGTGTGGCGTCGAAAGTGTCTGTCAGATAGTCATGTGGATTGCTTGGTGGAAGGCGTGGACTCGAACACTACGATTATCTACGAAAACCCTTAGACTACGACTGAAGGTGAAGTTCGAAGTGCACGTGACGGTCAGCACAATCGCTCGCCACCTAGACGGTCGCCTGATGACAATGAAGGAATTGCATGTAATACCGGAATCCATGAATACGGTGGATAGCAAAAGGCTAAGGAAGTCATACGTGTTGAAGTTGAGGGACTTGGAGGCAGAAGGACGGCGAGCAGTATGGGTAAATGGGACGAACTTTAATCTATTCTGCGCTTGCACACGAGGACGTTTAGCACGTGAGACCCGTGCTCACCGTACGGTGCCGAACACTCGGGGACAAAATCTGCACCTGATCAATGTGATGAATGAGGATGGATTGCTTGGATATTCTGTCCTAAGAGGCAGTTATAATAGAGAAAGATGTGCGCGGTGATTGCGGCTACTGCTTGATACCAATGGCATCCAGTTCGCCGAAAGCGGTCTCCTTATTTGTGATAACGTACTCGGTCACACCGAGCTGGAGCACATCTTCAAAGAGCAGGAGGGGGAGGATCAGGAAGATTTCTACGACTGGCACCGTACTCTTCGCAACTTAACCCGCTCGAAGGCATTTGGAGTATCATTAAGGTCTACGTTAAGCAAACCATGAGGTGGCGATATTCCGAAATGCTCCGAGAGAAGCCGGATGGTGTACTGAGTAAGACTGAATGGAGGAAGTAGTTCTTGGAGCAAGTTGTTGCAGAGGCACGTGCCTGCGTGATGCTGCACTATTGTCGACAAATGGTGCAGCATGTACGAAATAACTATACACGTGCTTTGCACCTACTCCATCTGTAACCCGTTCAATACCACTGATATATTTCTTGTTAACGCTCATTGATGTTTTTCTTTAAAAGCAATGCGGGGCCACCCCGAGTGGGGTACACCGTGGCTTTCAGTTGGAATTGCTTCTGGCTCTGCGAAGGTTCACTCGGGGATAGCAATAGTTACTGTAAACTATGATTACAGTGGGTTCTCGCTGCAGTGATAGACCACGTGTTGTTAACCGGTCGTTATGTGGTACATTGAGAGCTACCGATAGTGCGAAGACATCTCATACACCGTTCCAAATAACTTAGGCAAAATTGTACACGTTCCTGGGTGTATATCATAGATACTGGTTACCATAGATGTCGGTGATTTGCCGTATGAGCAATGCATACGACCCGGACGAGGGTCCCTCCATCAAAATGAGCTACTGTCAAACTTCTTCTGATGCTGGCCGGCACTCCGCCTAGGGGTCTGTGGCGTGGAGTAGTCTAGGAGCGCTTGGGTAGCGTCCGGAGGAGGCTTGGTGCCACTATTATCGAATCTGTGACCCAGGAACTCAAGGATGTGCTCGTCAAATGTGCATTTGTCCGCGTTGTTTTTTCTTCCCTGATGTGTAAAGCGTACAACTACAATTCGAATGTGTGTTGTATGCTCATCGGGGTTCGCGCTTGCTAGCAACTAAACTATGATAAACATAGTTTATCTAAACGTAGACAATATCTAGGCCACGGAGGATTTGATCCATGCACATGGCGATAGTGAAAATAAACGGAAACTTACGTCGTAGTCCTCGGCTTAAGATAAGTAGTTACTGGCCGTAAGTTGCGAATTAATTTGATTGGCCACCTGTAGCATTGGACCAGATGGTTACAAGGGGCGTTTTTCCAGTGAAGGGGGTAGAATGCTGACTTCCGCACCAGTATCAACCAAGAAGTAAAGTATGGTTGCGGAGTCAAATGCGTACAGTAGGCGATTACTGATCTGGCCGAGCTCACATTCCATCTGATGAGTCAAGTGCCAGAACAGGAGGTGCCGACTGTTGTGCATTCGGTCAGCATGCTTGCCGGCTAGTCTAAACGGACACGTGCACACAACCCATACATACACACATAAGTGCATATTTCTCTGCTTCTCTTTTGGTTCATTCTTCTCCTTGCGACACCTTAATGTCCTCACGTATTTAGACACCACAGATTACAGTAGTTTGTTTACCGAAGCGACTTTCTTCGGTTAATGTATTTGACTTCGTACACAAAACTAGCGTCTTGGCTTACGAACCTACGCCATGGAATTACATCCTCCTTCAATTTACTGGTCTGATCCGACCTTACGCTCTATCGAAAGTGCATGGGCCCAGTGGAAAACATCGTTTATAAACCATCTAGACCTACAACCTGCGGCCAGAAAGTGAAGCTTCTCAGATAGCTTCTCGGGGCTGAGCGACAACGTCAATTTGATGCTTTGGAGCTCCAGTCCCAAGATACCTTAACGAAAGCACTAGATGTGCTAGAAAAGTCAGGGAGCCAGCGTACAAATGTCTTCATGGCTCACCTCAAATTTGACCGACTTACATACGAACCATCGTAAACTCTAGGCAGTTTTGTTGATCTCCTCATTCGCGGTGTACGACTATGCGAGTATCTAACCATACCAGAAAATGTAA